TTGGGGGGGTTTTAACTTTCCATTTTATTCATCTATTTGGGTGTTTAATTGAGATTTTTAATTTGTTCTTTTTCTGGTTTGGTTTTTTTTTAGTTGTATGCCCAGTTAATTGATCTAATCTTTCTCTTTTTCATTGATGTAAGCATTCAGAGATATAAATATCCCCCAAGTACTGCTTCAGCTATATCCCACAAAGTTTAGTGTGTTTTCTCATTGTTGTCATTGTTTATGATTTGTTCTATTTCCCACTCAGTCTTTGGGACTTTTTAATCTCAGCTTAAAAGGCTCTTAATTGAATGTAATGTTTATCACGTTATGATCCAAAAGGGGTACTTTTAATATTTCTGCTTTTCTGCATTTGTTTGTGAAGTTTTTATGCCCTAGTACGTGGTCAGTTTTTGTGAAGGTGCCATGTACAGCTGAAAAAAAAAAAAAGTATTTTATTGCTGTTCAGTTGTGTGACTCTATGTAACCCCATGGATTTTTGTCCATAGGGTTTTCTTGGCAAAGATATTGGAGTGGTTTGCCATTTTCTTCTCCAGTGTGTCCCCATTTTATAGATCAGGAAGCAAGGCAAATAAGGGTTAAGTGACTTGCCCAGGATCACACAGCTAGTAAGTGTCTAGCCTTAAACACATGGACACTAAGGCCTGCCCTGAACTCAGATCCTCCTGGCTCCAAGCCCAGTACTCTATGCACTGAACCACCTAGCTGCCCCAGTCCAGAATCAGGAAGATCAGATCCCAAATTTGGCCTCAGACATATACCAGGCAAACCACCCAACCTCCATAACCTCAGTTTCCTCATCTGTTAAAAGGAGAAAAAGATATACTCCTTTCTGTGCCCATTCAGTATTCCCCAGAGGTCCGTCATATCTAACTTTTCTAAAATTCTATTCATCTCCTTAACTTCTTTCTTATTTATTTTATGGTTAGATTTATCTAGATCTGAGAGGGATAAATTGGAGTCCCCCACTGAAATGGCTTTACTGTCTATTTCCTCCTATAATTCATTTAACTTTTCATTCAAGAATTTGAATATTATAAAATTTGATATGTGTGTGTGTTTAGTATTGATATTAATTCATTGTCTACTTTTGCTAAGTCTGAGATCGTGGTTGCTACTCCTGCCTTTTTCACTTCAGCTGAAACATAATATATTCTGCTCCAGCCCCTTATTTTAACTCTGTTTGTGTCTTTCTATTTCAAGTGTTTCTTTCTTATAAACAACATATTGTTGGATTCTGGTTTCTAATCCATTCTGCTGTCTGCTTTCATTTTAGGAGTGAGTTCATCCCATTCATATTCACCATTATGATCACTAACTGTGCATTTCCTTTTATCCTATTCTTTTCTATTTATCCTTCCCTTTTTTTTCTTTTAAACTTGTACCCTCCTCAAAAGTCTATTTTACTTCTGGCCACTGCCTCCCTTAATTTTCCCTCCCTCTTTTCACACCCCTCCCCTTTCTCTTAACCCCTTCCCTGCTCAGTAAGTTTAATTTCTATACATAGACTGTGTGTGTGTATTCTTCCCTTGTTGAACAAGTTCAGATGACAGTGAAGTTCAAGGGTTGACCACTCCCCCTCATTTCCCCCTCCATTACAAAATCTCTTCTTTGTATGCCTCTTATATGTGAAATAATTTTCCCCATTCTTCTCTCTTCCCCCTTCTCCCAGCACATCCCTCTTTTCTCATCCCTCCATTTTTTTGAGATCATCCCAACAAAACTGACTCACACCCAATGCCCTTCATGTAGATTCCTTCTAATTGCCATAATAATGACAAAGTTCGTAGAAGTTACATGTGTCATCTTCCCATATAGGAATGTAAACAATTTAACCTTTTTAAGTTCTTTATGATTTCTCTTTCATGTTTACCTTTTTATTCTTCTCTTGAGTCTTGTGTTTGAATGTCAAATTTTCTATTTGGCTCTGGTCTTTTCATTAGGAATGCTTGGAAGTCCTTTATTTCATTAAATATCTATTTTTCCCCTGCAAATGAATACTCAGTTTTGCTGGGTAGGTTATTCTTGGTTGTAAGCTCCTTTGCCTTCCAGAATATAGCATTCCAAGCCCTGTGCTCCTTATAGTTGGTAGCGGCTAAATCTTGTGTGATCCAGACTGTGGCTCCACAGTATTTGAATTGTTTGTTTCTGGCTACTTTAAGTATTTTCTCCTTGACCTGGGAGCTCTGGACTTTGGCTATAATATTCTTGAGAGTTTTCATTTTGGTATCTCTCAGGAGGTGACTGGTAGATTCTTTGAATTTCTATATTGTTCTCTGATTCTAAGATATCTGGGAAGTTTTCTTTTATAATTTCTTTAAATATTATGTCCAAGCTCTTTTTTTAAATTATGGCTTTCAAGTAGTACAATATTCTTAAATTATCTTTTCTTGATCTATTTTCCAGGTCAGTTGTTTTTCTGATGAGATGTTTCGCTTTTTTATTTTTTTATTATTTTAAACTGTTTTATTGTTTCTTAATGTCCCATAAAGTCATTAGCTTCCATTCAACCAATTCTAATTTTTAAATAATTGTTTTTTTCAGTGAAGTTTTGTACCTCTTTTACCTTTTGGTCAATTATGATTTTAAAGCAGTTATTTTCTTTAGTGTTTTTGTGCCTCTTTTACTATGCTGCTAATTCTCTTTTCATAATTTTCTTCCATTGCTCTCGTTTCTTTTCTCAATATTTCCTCTAGCACTCTTAATTGATTGTTAAGTGTCTTTGGCTCTTTTTAAAATCTCTTTCCTTAACTTTTCTAAGCATCTCTTTTTGCTTGTATCCAATCTATATTTTTCTCTGAGGCTTTGCTTGTATATGTTTCAAGGCATTGTTTTCTTCTGAGTCTGTGTCTTGAGCTTCTCTGTCACTGAAGTAGATTTTTATGGTTTCTTTTCTGTTGTTTGTTCACTTTTCCAGCCTGTTTGTTGACTTTGGACTTTATGTTAGAGTTGGAGAGAGTAAAGCTTATCCAGGAAGCAGGGAGAAGGTGTCTCTGTCGCAGCTTCAGGCTTTTTCCACACAGCTGCTTTCACAACTAGTTCAGGGGCTCTGTAACTTTTCAGTGCCTCCAAGGTGGTATGATCCTGGGAGAGTTGGGATCACTGTTCTCTGTCTGTGCTGTGGTTCTTACCTGGGTAGGGTTGCACCACAGCTCTCTCATGACCACAACTCTTCTCCACCCTGGAATTGGGTTGTGGGTAGTTGCCAAATAGTGCTGAGACCTGTACCCAGTGCTAGCATAGGGTACCCTGTGATCTCTTTCTGGCCCTACTGTGTCTGAGCACTGAGTGCTCCCTCGTGACACTCGCTCACAGCCAGTAACGTTTCCATCACACAGTCCTTGCTGCCAGCCCCTACCCCAGTGCCGCGGATCTGTTTTTCTGTCCTTCTAAGCTATCCTGGGCCGGAGAAATTCCTCACTCGGGCTTTTTTGTTGGTGTTGACAGGCTGTTTAGAATTTGACTGGATACAGTTTTTAAAAGTTGTTTTAGAAGGGCAGGTTAGGAGAGCTCAGAAACACTGCTCCTTACTCTGCCATCTTGGCTCTGCCCCCTCTCTGCCTTTGATTTTTAAAAAAGACACTTAACAAAATTTGGTGAAGCAAGAAAGAATACAAAAGTGCAGAAAGGCAAGAGAAAGTTCAAGAGAACTTGAGCTTGTCCAGGAAAGTTAAAAAAAAGCAAAAACATACATGGGAGGTGGCTACATTGAGAAAAGTAGGACTGCCCCTTGCTGTGGGAAGGTGGGAGGAGGATGGTGATGCACTACCAAGAAAAGGGGAAGAAGCTCAACTCTTACGGCCCCTCTACTTTCTCTGCCAAGGAGGAAGACCTGGCGTGTTAGAAGGAACAAAAATGGCTAATAGAGAATTGAAAGCCCGGATAAGTGGGCAGATGAAAAGACAACCATTAGCTCAAATTGATTAGTCCAAGTCACCTGGCCCAAACAAAGGACACCCTCTGTACTGAACAGTCTATGAGATGAGATTCCTGAACCATTACCAGTGCTCTTTGAAAGATCATGGGAAAAAAAGGGAAAGTAAGGCTGGACTAGAGAAGGTGTGTGTGTGTGTATGGGGAGTGGGGGAGGAGAGATTACTGCAATTAAAAAAGAGAGAGAGAGGGTAGAGTCTGCCAAAGCAAGGCCAGTGAACTTGACTTCAATTTCTGGCAAAATTCTAGAATGTTTTATTAAAGGGATGGCGAGAAAAGGAGGCTCATGTGGTTTCAGTGAGATCATAGGTCATTCCAGGGAAGTCCCTTTTCTTTTGTGCGCAGGATTACTAGATAATCAGATTGGGGGTTGCTACAGACATGGTGCAGTTAAATTTTAGCAAAACACTCCATAGGATCCTGGGATCATCAGTTTTGAGCAAGGAGGTGCCTCTGGGGCGACCTAGCCCAAGCACCTTGTTTGATGGATAAGGAAAGGAAGGTGAAGTCTCTTGCCCAAAGTCACACAGTCCAGATTTGATACAGCCATGCCACCCTTATAGATATGGGCTGGATAATTACAGTTAGGTACACTCGTCCCAACTCAGTGGCTGGACCCAAAGAACATCCCTGGTGTTTCACCAGGTCACTGCCTGCTCGAACCTCAGTTTCCTTATCTCTAGCACCTACCTCCTAGCTGTTGGAGGGCTCATGGGAGATAATGTCAGAAAAGTGTTTTCCAAGCTTTAAAGTAATATCAACTATTATTAAAATACAAACCCTAAAGTATGCAGCATTTGTAATTATTAATTAGCAGCAAACATAACATTATTCCAGCAGCCCCAGGCCATGAAACGGTGACTCTTGTTAGCAAACTCTTCTGGGGGGTGGGGCAGGACAAGGGGAAGCCTGTTTTTAGGGGGACTCTGCTTCCAGAATTTTCCTGCTGAACTCTGTCTTTCCCAGGCCTGTTCCCAGGGTGTTTTGGATTCTGCCTTAAGCTCAGCAGCTTCGGAGCTGCCCACTCTAAGGGTCCCCTTTGGTCTCTCACCCTCCTGCAGATGCAGCGGACTCGGGCCCCTCGGTGGTCGTCCACACCACCACCTCCTTTGGGATGGAGAACTTGGAGAAAAGCACTGAGGATGTTCGGGATGTGATTCTGCAGCAGGTGAGCTGTGTCCTGCCGGGCCTGCCCACGCCAGCCAGCACCATGTGCCACAGGTGGACGTACTCTCAGGTGAGAATCTCACCTCTGACATTTACTAGCTGGGGGACTAGGGGGAAGTCATTTGACCTTTCTTAGCCTCAGTTTCTTCATCTGTAAAAAGGGAATGATCAAGCCTCTCGTACCTACCTCACAATGCAGTTGTGAGGCCCAAACGGAACCACGAATTTATTAAGCTTTTATGTGCCGGGCACTATGTGGACATAGGTCCTGCCCTCAAAGAGCTTGCATTCTAATGGGAAATGCGGCATTACAAGCAGGTATGTGCAAGACCTAGAGAGCTGATGGATGAGATGAATGAAGAAGCATTTATTGAGCTCCGGGCCGGGCAGGCACAAGCGTGAGCAACCAAGAGAGTTCCTGCCCTCAGGAAGACGCCACTCTAATGGGGGGAGCTAGGAAAGCTTAACACTGCCCTAAGACTTTGGGGATACCTGGTGCAGGGCAGAGGGGGGCAGGGAAGGGAGTTCTGCTCAAGGCAAGAGAGAGAGAACAGGGGAAGGAATAAGCATCTATTAAGCACCTACTATGTGGCAGGCACTGTGCTGAGCACTTTACAATTATTATCTCATTTATTCCTCACGACAACCCTGGAAGGTGGGTGCTATTACTGTCCCCATTTTGCAGATGTGGAAACTGAGGCAGACCAAGGTGAAGTGATCTACCCAAGGTCACACAGCTGGTAAATGTCTGAGGCTGGATTTGAACTCAGATCTTTCTGACTCAGGCCCAGTGCTTATAGTGAATGGAAGCCACAAGTCAGTCAATTATCAGCGTTTCAAGTAGGAATGCCTGTATTGCTTGGATTACTGACCTGAGAAGTGGAAAGAGAAGGGAGGTGTCGGTTACCTGTGCCCTGTAGGATGGATGGGGGTGGGCAGGGGAGGGAATGCGGGAGGCAGTTAGCAAAGGAGCGGGCACGAAGGGAACTCGCGGCAGATTCTGTCTGTGTTCAAGGCACTGGAAGATCCGAGACAGTGGGTCTTAGTGTCCTCAAGCGCTGCAGCCTGCCTGGACCTTTGCTGCCTCCTCTCCGGCTGAGTGACGCCCCTCAGAGTTTGCTCTTTAGCTTTGACTTAACTCCAAAATCCCTGAAAGCTGCCGATTCGGCTCTGCTGATTCCACGTGAAGTGGCCAGAAGTGGGCCGGGAATCAATCCCACGTGCAGAGGTCACCCTACGTTAGCTAGAGAATAGGGCAGCCCCCTGGAATGTTGGGGGGAGCAGCAGCCCGTGGGTGGCTGGGATGTTTGGGATACTGTGTGGGCGTGGACGCTGCCCTCCTTCCCTCGGGTGACTGAGCGGGAAGGGAGGGGAGGGGAAGCAGGGACTGATTAAGAGGTAGTTACTTAATATTTCTACGCACTAGTGAAAATGTGGGGTTTTTCCTAACCAAGTCATCATCACCTCTTCTCGAAGGTGAGTAATGCTACGGAGTTTAGGGGTCTTCAGACACAAAGCACAGCCAGACCCTGGCAGAGACCTTTCTTTATTGGGGGAGAGGGCGAGGCTAGAATTTATTAAGTGCCTACTGTGTGCCCAGCACTTTACAAACATGGTCTCATTTGATGCTGACACTAGCCCTGTGAAGGAGAGGCCATTATTATCCCATTCCATAACTGAGGAGTCTGAGACAGACACAAGCTAAGTGGTCTGTGGATGTCCTGCCTGCAATGAAGACTCGGAATGTTTAGGGACCTTATGGAGTGTCTGGTCCAGCCTCTTCATTTTGGGGAGCAGTAAACTGAGGCCCCAAAATGTGAAATGATATATTCAAGTAATAACTGACTTATTGAAGGTCTTAAGGAGCAGAGGCAGCATTGGAACTCGAACCCTGAGTCCAAATTGGATGCCCTGCCCACCCTCTTCAGCTACCCCTACCTGACCCCAAATATCCATGGAAGATGAGAATCCACCATTTGGGGGAAAGCCTTTTAAAAGAATGGGACAGACTCTGCCTAGGAGATGAAATGCCAGCCAACTGACCACCCACCATTCCATCCAAAGAAATCATGAGGGGGCAGCCAGGTGGTGCAGTGGATAGAGCACCAGCCCTGGAGTCAGGAGGACTTGAGTTCAAATCCAGCCTCGGACACATGATACTCACTAGCTTTGTGACCCTGGGCAAGTCAGTTAACCCCAATTGCCTTGCCAAAAATAAAAAAAAATTTAAAAATCACGAAATTGGGGCCAAGCTGCGCATCATTCCACAATCATAATCTGCACTGCCCATATGGCCCCAAGAGCAGGTCTCGGTCTAGCTTAGAGCTTTCTATCTTTTTTTCTTTCTTTCCCCTCTTCACACCTCTCATATCTGGACTCCAGACTTTCCTCCACTTGCAAGCAAGAATAGTCTTCCTGAAACACCAGCTAATCCCTGACACGCCCCTGCTCAGAAGGTGCCAGTGGCTCCCAAGTGCCTTGAAGACAGAAGGCAAAGCCCTCAGCCTGGTGCCAGGCCAGTCGCCCATCATTCTCTTAGGTGCTGCCAACCTGCCTATGAGTTGTTACCCCCGAGCCCCCTCCCCCAGCCTCAGTTTCTTGGCATGGACTGCCCGCCCTACTCCAGGCATGTCATGGTGCCTCCTAGAGATCCCTGCTTCATTCAGGGCTCAGGCCCCACTTCTTGGGGATGCTCAGGGTTCTGCTTTGGAGACGAGCTCATGGACCCTTCCTGCATACAGGCTGCATCCCCACGAGATATGGGGAACAGGCCACATGCTCTGAGCACGGTGAGGCTCTGCCTCCATCCCAGCCTGGCTGGGAGGCAGAATTTGTCCCTGTGTGTTTGTGTTCCTTCCTTTATACTCTTCCCCTTGGGGACCTCAGTGGGTTCAGTGATCATCTCCCTACAAATGATTCTCAGCTCTGTGAAGGCAGATCTGGACTCTCTCATGAGCTCCAGTCTGCATCACCAAATGCCTGTTGGACATCTCCAACTGGATCTCTAGTAGAGACATCTTAAACTCAACCCACCCAAAACAGAACTAGTTGTCTTTCCCCCTAAACCCTCCCCCCCACTTTCCCTATTCCTATAAAGGGCAACACCATCCTGCAGTCCCCCAGGCTCACACCCTCAGAATCAGCCTGGACTCCTCACTATCTCTCACACCCTCCATATCCAGTTTGGTGCCAAGGTCTGTCAACCTCGCCTCTTCAACATCTCTGGTGCAGGCCCCCTTCTCTTGGGCTGTTAAAATATTTTTATAATAAGGGTTTTAATTTATACATTTAAAAACATTATCCTAAGAGGGGATCCATAATCTTCACCAAACTGCCAAAGGGATCTGTGAGAAAAAAGGCAAAGAACCCTCAGTCTAGAGACAGGAGCCAAGGGTTCTAGGCTGAGCTCAGACAACTGCAAGGCCTACAGCAAGTCAGCTCACTTTCCCATTTTCCCTTCCCTTGTTGGTAAAGGGGAATCGCTTGCCTAACTCACCTGCCCCAGAGGGTCCTTAAGAGCCAATGAAATCGTCATTGATGGAAAAGCTTTTTGGAAAGCCTAAAGCATTTATATATTTGTTGATATCATTAAGATCATGACAATAGTAACTGCAAATGGCTATTAACCATTACTGGAAATGGGACGTGCCCTGGGCGATTCAGAGTACCCAGGGTACCCTTCAGAGAAGAGCATCCCCTTCTATAGATCACTCCATTCTGCTCAAGTTCAGACTTAAGTAGGAATAGTAGCAATGTGGGGGGTGAACGGGGACGAGGGAACTCCCCACTTAATGGGCTCAGGGAGCTAGAAGACAGCCTCCCTGAAGAGTTGATCTTTGCTGAAGTTAGCTGACATCAGAGTCTCAGAATTGGAGGTGCTCAGCAGCCACCATCGAGGCTGACCCATAACAGAACAAGAACCTATCTAGGGTTCTTTGTCTATGGCATCCCCAACAAGTGGTCATCGGCCTTGCTTAAATCCTCCCAGAGAGGGAACTCAGCACCTCCCAGGGCAGCCTATTCCACTTTGAGAGAGCTCGAAGGAGGCCATTTTTCCTTCTACCCATTTTGTCAGTCAACAGGCATTTATTAAGCACTTACTGTGTGCTAGGCACTGTGCAAACACAAAATAAAACACCCAGCACTGAACAGCACAGCCCATGAAAAAGAGTGCCTGGTGTCCCTCCTGTGCTATAAGGAAAGGAGGCTTGTGTGTGGGACCAGAGGACCTGAATTTGAACCTCTCCATGCCCCTGCCCAGCCACCTGGCCTCGGCTGTGACCCTCTGCTCTCTGGGCTGAAGTGTCCTGTGTAAAATAAGGGGACTGAACCAGATGAGGTCCCTTCCAGCTGTAACATGCTGATTCTCTGAAGTGATAGCGGAGCACTTTTAGAAGGAATAGAAAAATGTAAGCTCCTTAGAGTCAGGGGCTTCCTTGAGCTTGGCTTTGAAACCTCACCCCTCCCACAGTGCCTGGCACAGAGCAGGTGCATGAAGGAATGGAGCCATGGAGGTAAATCCTCAGCTCTGAGGCTCAGATATGTGCGCTGGCCTGGGGTACAGAGTGATGAAAGAAACCTAAAAATGGTTTGCAGAGTGGAGAAAGCCCCATGGCCAATGCCTTTCTGGGGATCCCCTTAGTATACACACATCTTAAAATTAAGAGGAAATCTGTATGGAAACACTCTGTGGGCACCGATTCTGCCATCACAAAGTCTGCGTGTGCTAAGCATGTCCTTTCAGAAAGGCGGCCAGGCCTCTGACAAGTAAATAAAATGATTAGGGCCATGAGAGAGGAGAGCTTTCCAGTATGCAGAGACCCTTCCACTTAGGGGAGAAGGGCCGGACCTGTGATTACAACTCCCTCGACCATCACAAGGTAGGCATTTATGGTCTTAGGTGCCTAAAGATGGAAGGTGAAGGGATTCTCCCAGGGTCCCTCCCTCATCTATGTCAGAGCCGCCATCTTCCTGGTTTGGAGGCCCGCTCTTTCCAGTAGGCCTCACTGCCTGTCTCATAGTCAGCACCTGATTAGTGTTTGTTCAGTGGTAACAGCAAATATTTGTCCG